CAAACGAGGTTGAGTTGATGTTTAAATGTCCGCGCATAATAAAGGTCAGTCACAGAGGTTGGCTGAATATTGGATTTGAATTTCTGTTAAATATTAAAATTAAAGATTCTTGGCATATTGTGAGGGGATATTTCAGGAAATTAAAAATTCAAGATTTGTTAAATGTAATCGTTAAATATTCTGAAAATTTAGAAGGAGCATAAATACGGAAAAATAAAAAGAAAGCAAATGAATTTAAAAACCCAATGGGAAAAATTAATAATTAAATTAAAATAAAAAAATGGTGATCAAAGTATTAGTGAAACCATTTCTTCCAAAAAAGAATTTGTCTCAAACCAAAAAATAGGAGAGACATAGGGCAGAAAAAAAAATTTCGACAAGAAAAAAATTTTCGTTCACTGCTTATATACCAATCTAATGGCACCTCAACTGCGAGAAACAGTTATGTCATAAATAATTATTAATAACATAATGTCATACTTAATAATTCGTAAATTAATTATTTTTAACGAAAATTTGCCAAAAAAAAAATTTGTGGTCAAAAAAAAATTACCATTAAAAAATAATTTTTTTGTTAAATTTTCGTAGGTAAAAAAAATTAATTAACTAATTATTAACTATTATTATTTAATTAATTTTTTTTACAGAGAAATTTTGAAAAAAAAATTATTTTCTCATCGTGATATTTTTTTGGGCCACAAATTATTTTTTTACTGAGAAAATTTTAAAATATGTAAATTTCTCATCGTAATATTTTTTTGTGCTACGTATAATTTTTTTGTTAAATTTTTTTACAGAGAAATTTTTACAACAAAATTATTTTTCATTGTGATTTTTTTAAAGTCACGAATAATTTTTTTTCAAAGAAAATTTAAAAAAAAAATTATTTTCTCATTGTGATACTATTTTGTGCTACGAATAAATTTTTGGTAAATTTTCGTAGTAAAAAACATGAATTAATTATTACGGTATATAGTTAATTAATTTTTTTGGAGAGAAAATTTGACAAAAAAGTTATTTTTTTATCGTGATGATTTTTTTAGGCCACAAAATATTATTTAATATAATATTTATTTAATTTTAATTATAGTTATAAATTAATTATAAATTTAACATAATTATTAATAAAATAATGTTATACTTAATAATTGGTTAATTAATTATTTTTAACGTAGTAAAAAAATGAACTAACTAATAATTACGTTATTGAGTTAATAAATTTATTTACAGAGAAAATATGACAAAAAATTATATTCTCATCGTGATATTTTTTTTGAGCTACCAATAATTTTTTTGCAGAGAAAATTTAAAAAAAATTTTTTTCTTATTGTGAAATTTTTTGTGTGCTACGAGTAAGTTTTTTTGTTAATTATATTCTCATCGTGATAGTTTTTTAGTCTTGAAAAAATTTGTTTACTACAAATATTTAACAAAAAAATTATTTTTTGAAGGTAATATTTCTTTTTACCACAAATTTTTTTTTGTCAAATTTTCGTTAAAAAAAATTAATTAACGAATTATTAAGTATGACATTATGTTATTAATAATTATTTATGACATTAATTAATTTTTAAGTTAATTATTTGTCATATTTAAAATAAAATAAATAAAATAAAAAAAAAATTTAATCATTTTTAAATTTAAAACCGATATTAATAGGGTTCCTAACCGAATATGGAACCCTAAAAACATTTAAAAATTGGTAAAAATATGAAAAAACTTGTTTTTGAGTAACTTTTTAAAAGCAGAGTAATTTAATAGGTATATTTCCAAAAATTCTAAAAAAATTGAGTAATTGCAAAATAACCCCTTTCTTAGGATTAAAATTGGAAAATAACCCTTTTTTAAGGTTAAAAGTGCAAAAAAATGTTAATACGGTAAAACAAGTTAGATTTTCTAAATGCATATGGGTAAGAATTCCTGAAGTGGCCCCCTAATATTTTTTGTGTAATAGAAAAAAGTGATACCCATTTATTTTGGTAGTCCATGATGTCACTAAGAAACCCCTGAAACGATTTTTCAAAATTCGAATTTTTTCATAAGTTATAAACAATTAAACTTTTTTGCAACGTTTTGGAAAAAATTCTGTATCTTGAAATTGGCCGAACCGATTTTAATAAAAATTGGTTTAGAGAAAGATTAAGATACGTACTTTTGATAAATAAATAAATTATGAATAAAAAGTATAATTTGTTTAAACAAATTATATTGTTAATTTTTAACTTTATAAATTAACAATGTTCTCAGTCGATTTTTCCAATTTTTTTTTATAGAATCATAAAAAGGGGCTTTTCACGATTCCATGACAAAAATAAAAAAGTGGGATTCTCAAAAACTTTAGAAGATACAGAATTTTTAGTCTTAACGCGCGCGAGTTTTCTGAGCAGCTCACGCATACGGCGCGGCATCTCCCGCGCGCCCAGCGCCAACCAAGACTCCATGAGAGTTCCCGATTATAATATTTTATTAACTCAATTAAACTGAACAGTTGTTTATATGTATTTTATTATGCATATCATTTTTGTTTATATTTAATAATTTTTATTATTTATAAAATTTCTGTTTATAAAAAGTTTCTGATTATTTAATTTTAATGATAAATTTTCAACGTTTTTAAATTGTTTTGTTTATGTATCAATGAATAATAAAATATATTATTGCGAATCCGTGTTTTATTTTTCTAGACCGCATTGTTTAACGTTTGCTGTCAAAATTTTAACAAATTTCACGTTTATGCGCACTGAATGAAAATTTGCGTGTTTTCACGTGAAAACAAAAGAATCGCGACAATCGTCTGGTCATTCACCTAACATGATAATTTCGTTTTTAGATCATAGTATTTTCTTTACGTTTAATTTTAAGAAAAGACAAATATATCAACGAAAACGTTTTATAAGCCAAAAATGATTAATTATTAAAAAAATGATATGCATAATAAAATACATATAAACAACTGTTCAGTTTAATTGAGTTAATAAAATATTATAATCGGGAACTCTCATGGAGTCTTGGTTGGCGCTGGGCGCGCGGGAGATGCCGCGCCGTATGCGTGAGCTGCTCAGAAAACTCGCGCGCGTTAAGACTAAAAATTCTGTATCTTCTAAAGTTTTTGAGAATCCCACTTTTTTATTTTTGTCATGGAATCGTGAAAAGCCCCTTTTTATGATTCTATAAAAAAAAATTGGAAAAATCGACTGAGAACATTGTTAATTTATAAAGTTAAAAATTAACAATATAATTTGTTTAAACAAATTATACTTTTTATTCATAATTTATTTATTTATCAAAAGTACGTATCTTAATCTTTCTCTAAACCAATTTTTATTAAAATCGGTTCGGCCAATTTCAAGATACAGAATTTTTTCCAAAACGTTGCAAAAAAGTTTAATTGTTTATAACTTATGAAAAAATTCGAATTTTGAAAAATCGTTTCAGGGGTTTCTTAGTGACATCATGGACTACCAAAATAAATGGGTATCACTTTTTTCTATTACACAAAAAATATTAGGGGGCCACTTCAGGAATTCTTACCCATATGGCAAAGAATTTTGATTTTTGATTTGAAAATAAATGAAAATTAATTCTCCAATGTCGACGTCGAGGTCGGTGTCGCTTTAGGAAGTTTGTTAACTTAATAATATAGAAGATATTTACTATTTTTACTTATTTCAAATATTTGACGTTAATCATTAAGTTTGTACATAAGTTTGTTTATTAATAAAGTATAAAAAATCACATATCTCGTAGGGGAAGGTGGGGTAAGGGAGCTTTTAAAATTGAAGTACACAGAGACTTTGAATTTCGTGGAAATAACTCGGAAAACTTGAACAATCTTCCTGTATGTCATACGAAGACAAACGGTCACATTTCTGACTGTTTAATGTAAGGTTTAAAAATCAAAAAAAAGGTTATCATGCGAATGAATGGATGACTGCAATTTCACTCAAATACAATGATTTTATTTTACACTATTTACATTTTAAAATGGTTACATTATTGTAAGGCGGAGATACAAGTTAGTCATTGCGACTTGTGCTAGCGATGTGCACAGTTCGCTTTTCCGTTTTGTTCTGATCTCAGACCTTCGCCAGAAGGGCTCGAAAGGTCCGAAAACCGACTCCTTTCCGAAGTCTTGAATTTTTCTGATTATTTTTAAACTAGTCTAAACCTGCAAATTGAAGGAGGAGCCTTATCGGGTTGCCAAGACCGAGCGTCAATCCAGGTATAAAGCAATAAAAATTGAGCCTACTCGTCGATTTCTCTATGCCGGTTAATGAGTTCTTTCCCTACGACGTACAGTTTTTACAATCTAAGAGCTTATGGCAATAAATTTAAACTATGCAGTAAATGTGCAGCTGGAAATATTTCCAAAAAAAGATGTTTCCTAGTAAAGGCGTTTAAATTTAAAAATGGTTATTGTCGCTAGAAAATAAATTTTACAATATTGTTTTTACACATAGTACTGAAATATTTAGTAAAAAAAAGCATAGAAATTGTTCCTCCGGAACATGCCGGCCCTCTTGAACTGCCAGTTCAAAATAATACGCAGTAACTATAAAACTACCTTGAAACTAATTGATGGTGATTTATAGAAATTAGTCATATATAATTAAACATACTTGATTTAAGTTTTAGAATTTTACTTGAATTTTATGAATTCAAAGAATAAGAGTACAAGCAGTATAAAAATTGTGAATAAAGAATATGAAATTATTAAAGACGTTGTAACAGTTAGTGTTCGAAAAAACGTTATCTTTTCTTTAAATCGGTAATGGGTAAACACATTTTAATGCTCTCTTATATGTGCCGGTCGCACATTATAAAGTGAGAGCGCGCACGATTCCATCTGAGCCTGGGTGTGTTGCAATGATTCGCCCAAGCTTCCAACACATTGGTGGAAGATTGTCTTCCTTGATGACAACAAGAGTTCCGACCTTGATCTCTTGTTGATTTGATGTGACTTGCCATTTAATTCTGGCAATCATTTCGTTGAGGTACTCTCAGTGCCATCGGTCCCAAAACTGTTGACGCATTTGCTGGGCATGTTGCCAGCAATTCAGACGATTGCTTGGAATGTCTCGTAGATCGTCCTGTGGAATGCTTGTCAAGGAATTGCCGATCAAAAAATGGGAAGGAGTCAAAGGTAAAAAATCGTTCAGATCAGATGAAAGTGGTGTTAAGGGACGAGAATTGAGGGTAGCCTCGATTTCTACCACATAAGTGTGTAGTTGTTCATACGTTAAAAGTGCAGTTCCCGTAACTCGCGTAAAATGGTGCTTAAAAGATTTTACTGATGCTTCCCAGAGACCACCGAAGTGTGGAGCTCTAGGCGGAATAAAATGCCATTTTATTTTATTTATCAACAAAAAATCATGAAATTCTGAGCTCTTTTCATGAGTTTCGATTGTTTTGTAGAGTTCTCGCAACTCATTTCGAGTCCCTGCAAAGTTAGTAGCATTGTCCGGTGAAACTGAGTTTGGTATTCCTCGGCGAGAACAAAATCGTTTGAGAACGGCAAAAAAGGCGTCTGTTGTCAGATCGCTTGCCAATTCTAAATGTACAGCCTTGGTGGCTAAGCAAACAAAAATTGAAACATACGTTTTTACCTTTCCTCGATTCCTCTTTAATGAAAAATGGACCACAGTAATCGACACCGGCATGAGTGAAAGCTCGAGAAAAAGAAACACGATCGCGAGGCAAATTTCCCATCAAATATTCAGGCTCGCGAGGCTTCGCTCGAAAGCATGGGAAACATTGACGAATAAAGTGTCGCGTTGTATTACGACCAGTCACATGGTGACTCTTAGGGAGGACGATCGGATGTTTTTGCGAATTTGGAATCTCAGCGTTTCCTAATCGAACTCCTACCCTAATAATCCCTTTTTCAAGAAATAGATTGAGTCGAAGAAGGCTGCTTTTTTGTGAAATATCTTTTCCCTGTTCTAAGGCTTGTATTTCCTTTAAAAAGGTTTCCCGTTGTGTTAATTTCATTATTTTAAGAATTGCGTCATTGAACTCTAATGGCGAAAGGCGGCCTAGAACTCGATCGGATTTGTTTTCAAGTTTTGCATTTTTAATAAAACGCATGAAATACGCGACTACAATAACAAGTTGTTTCCAATCGCTGAATTTTTCTAAAAGGTTATAGTTTTGCTGAACTATTTTTAGCGCGACCAAAGGTTGAACTTTACGTTTTTCTGGAATTTCGCAACGAGTTAGAGAAAATTGAGGCCACAATTTCTCATCCATTTCTAACCAATTTGGACCATGTGTCCAAAACTTATTTCCTACGAGCTCTTGTGGGCTCTGACCACGTGAAATTATGTCCGCGGGATTGTCATGAGTTCGTACATGACGCCAATTTTCAGAATTTGTTTTTTCTTGAATTTGAGACACTCGATTTGCTACAAAGGTTTTTAACAATGCTGAGGGGGTATTGATCCAGTTTAAAACAATTGTAGAATCGGACCAAAAAACGACCTGTGAAAAAGTCATTTTTAACGATTGAACGACGCTTGAGTATAATTGAACTAGTAAGGTAGCAGCACATAATTCTAATCGAGAAAGAGTTGTGGCCTTTATAGGAGTGACTCGTGATTTCGAGCAAATCAGGGACGATTTGTGAACACCTTGACTATTAGTCGAGCGAAGATAAATGCACGCTCCGTAGGCCTTTTCACTAGCGTCGCAAAATCCGTGAATTTGAGTATCTACGAAATCAGGAATCACGAGACAACGATCAAATTTGATTTGGTTTAAATACATTAATTGTTTAGTGTATTCTTCCCAAATCAATTGAATTTCTTTAGAAACTGGTTCGTCCCATGTGAGATCACTTTTCCACAACTGTTGAATTAAAATCTTTCCTACGATAATGACTGGTCCTAATAAACCCAAAGGATCAAATAATTTTGAAATGGTGGAAAGAATTTTTCGTTTTGTCAATGGGTACGTGGAATTTGGTAATTTAACGGTGTAAACAAAAACATCTAAATTGACATCCCAATGCAAACCTAAAGCCTTTATTACTTCCGATCTATGAAGAGACATGTGAGTCTCAGGAACTTCTGTTTGTATTTCGCATAATTCAGGATGATTTGATGCCCATTTTTGCAAGTTAAATCCTCCCTTTTTTAACAATTTGATAAGCTGATTTCGAATAAAAAGCGCTTCGTCATAAGTTTGAGCGCCCGTCAACCCATCATCGACATAAAAATCGCTTTTTAAAATGGAAGCTGCTAGAGGATGTGAATCTTTTTCGTCATTAGCCAATTGGTGCAATGTGCGTATTGCGAGAAAAGGTGCGCATGCCGTACCAAACGTGACACGATTCAAGGCGTAAACCTTAATCGGTTCATTCACATGCTCTCGCCAAAGAAATTTTTGAAATTTAATATCATTTTCATGAATCAAAACTTGTCGATACATCTGCTCGATATCGGCAGTCATTGCGTATCGAAAGGATCTAAATCGAAGAATAATTGAAAAGAGATCTTCTTGGATTGTAGGCCCTATTAACATCGTATCATTTAAAGAGATACCGGAAGTAGTTTTCGCAGACCCGTCAAACACAACTCTTGTCTTCGTTGTGATACTGTCTTGTTTTAAAACTGCGTGATGTGGTAAATAAAAACCGTCTTCCACATCATTATCGCAATTTTTGAGAGGAGTTAAATGCCCTTCATCAAAATAACTCTGAATGTTTTTTACGTATGCTGCCTTGAAAGAAGGGGATTTTTCAAATTTTCTTTCTAGGGCATAAAATCGCTGAAATGCTGTGTTGCGAGAAGTACCTAAGTTTTCCTTCTTTTCGTTAAATGGAATTTTAACCTTGTATGAACCTGTTTCAGTGCGTTCAAAATTTTGTGAATAATGCGATTCACATTCCTTTTCTTCGTTAGAATATACCTTTACCTGATCTTCTTGACCTAGTTCCCATAAAATTGGCAATTCATTAAAATTCACAAGATGACATGAAATTTTAGTTGAATTATTTGAATCAAATCGCGGTTTTTTATAACTACCGGCAATAATCCAACCAAATTCGGTTTCTTGCAGCAGAGTGGTTTGCTTCGGAATTCGCATTTTTCCTGACAATAAAAGATCATAATAAATTTCTGCACCGATTAATAAATCAATTTTTCCAGGATTGTGAAAATCAGGATCGGCTAATTCAATACCAAATGGAATTTTGAATTCTTTTCGATCGAGAGGAATAGAAGGCATAGGATTTGAAATTTCCTTGAAAATAAGAAGACATAAATCGAATTCTCGATCAGTCACTCTTGATTTTATTTTTGAACGAGTGGAAAATTGAACGTTGGTACTGAGATTTTCGACACCGTTAAGAACAACATTGGTCCGTTTTTTATTCAACCCGAGAGTGGTAGCAAATTGCTCAGTAATGGAATTACACTGAGAACCTGAATCTAACAAAGCTCTGCATAAATGAAATTGACCTTTTTGATCTTTTATTTCGACCACTGCGGTTCCTAAAATGACATATGATTGTGTTTGGGATTGAAATTTGACCGCTACAGATAAGGAATCTGTGGGCCCTTCACTTTCTTATTCAGATGTTCTGTGAGATTCACGTGTGAAATGAAGCAAAACATTATGCCTTCTTTTGCATTTACTACAAGTAGGTTTAAGACAATCGATCGTTCGATGATTGTTGCCAAAACAGTTGTGACATATTGACGCACCTTTGACAACATCGTAACGTTCTTGTTCTGAAAGTTTAAGAAATTGATTGCATGAATGCAATGCATGATCTTCCGAACAGAAATGACATTTAGGACGCGAATTTCCCTTGTTAGACACTGTCGTAGTAGCTACATATGCTTGCGATGACTTAGGATTATTTCTAGAATCTTTATTGAATTTTGAAAATGGCTTTTTACCGTTTGGTGGTTTTATCGAAACTTGAGGACCTTCAAGTAAAGCACGGCGCTCAAGAAACGCTATCATATTTGCCATGGTTGGAACTTGTGTTGTACTTAGTGATTCCTCCCATTTTTCGCGAGTGTAATCATTTAATTTACTTTTGATAATATATATCAACAATGTGTCCCAGTATTCAACTGATTCCCCCAGAGCCTTAAGTTCTCGCATTCTTTTTTGAACATTGTCTAAAAGCGTACGAATTGAAAATTCTTTTGACATTGACTGAATTTTAAAAAGTGCTTGTATGTGATTCTCTACTATGAATTTTCTGTTATCATAGCGCGATTTTAACAATTCCCAAGCAGTCTCATAATTACTTTCTGATGTTTCGAGCGAAGCAATTACTTCCGCCGCTTCCCCTTTTAAACATGCTCTTAAATATAAAAATTTAGTAATTGTTGGAAGATCTTTTTTATCGTGACACATTGACTTAAAAGAATCATAAAAAGAAAGCCAAGTATCATATGTACCATGAAAAATTGGTGGTGGAAGCTTTGGAAGTTGAAAATGAGATGAAGCTTGAAAATTTTCATTATTTGATGAATTTGTGTTTGGATCAATTTTGGAACCTGAATCGGAAAGTAGCCTAGGGATCGTGTGTGAATTTGAAGTTGAAGGTGTCAAAGACTGGGTTGACGTTCCGATTGCGTTCTTTTCTTTTAACTTTTTTAAATATTTGTTTGCTAACGCGTTTAATTGGTAAAATCGCTCTTCAAATTCAGTTTGCTGAGCATCAAGATTTGCAAAATCATCAGGCTTTAAAAGTTCGATCTGACCTTGAATTTCATCAAATTCATTCCAAAATTCTTTATGCTTTTTGAGGCGCGTTTCTAAATCGAGGGATTCCAAATCAGTTTCATCGGTAATTGAATTTAACGTTGTTTGAAAATTCGTTGTTTGACGTTTAATATTAGCGCGTTTGTTTTTTAACGAATCATAGTCTGGTTCTGCCATTTTGAAATAATAGTAAACAATGAACAACTATCACCTTAAGCAGAAGAAATTCAAGACAATAAGAATAAAGACAGGAAAGGATTTTCGATAAATTCCTTGACTTACTTTTTGATGCTGTTGACTGCTTGGCTCCTTGTCAGGATATCCTCTTCCCAGTTGACTTGAACACCAGAATTTTACGCGATATAATTGAGTCTTTTTTATTGCATTATACATGCATAATTTGAAAGAATAAATTTTGTGTCTCAAAAATTGATTGAACTGGAATGTTAGAACTGTACATTAATTGTTGTTGTTGCTGGTTTGCTTTGTCCAACTATGCGAAGTAAAGAATGAATTAACTTCACACAGTCACAGTTCTTTGTATGTTGAAATGAATCATATCTAACTTTACAGTCAGAAAATATAGTTTTGGAATCACTATTTTTGTGAAGGTTAAACTTCACTAATTTTCGTTAGAATCACGAGTTCTAGTTTTTAAAAATAACTAGTTGTTTGTGCAAATGCTGAAAGCTTTACACATTTCACTTATCGAGTCATGAATTCTACTTTTTAATTCACTAGATCTCTGAGTAAAGAATGAAACTTCACACATTTGTTTGAAAGTCAAAGTTCTAGTTTTGAAATCACTAGTTGTGAAAAGAATACAATTTTACATGTCACTTTTCACAAAGCAATATTTTACACTTTCGTACCGGCGCGATCATTGAATGCCCGTAACTGTGTAAAATATCCGCGACTCGAAGGACCAAAATGTTTAATGTAAGGTTTAAAAATCAAAAAAAAAGGTTATCATGCGAATGAATGGATGACTGGAATTTCACTCAAATACAATGATTTTATTTTACACTATTTACATTTTAAAATGGTTACATTATTGTAAGGCGGAGATACAAGTTAGTCATTGCGACTTGTGCTAGCGATGTGCACAGTTCGCTTTTCCGTTTTGTTCTGATCTCAGACCTTCGCCAGAAGGGCTCGAAAGGTCCGAAAACCGACTCCTTTCCGAAGTCTTGAATTTTTCTGATTATTTTTAAACTAGTCTAAACCTGCAAATTGAAGGAGGAGCCTTATCGGGTTGCCAAGACCGAGCGTCAATCCAGGTATAAAGCAATAAAAATTGAGCCTACTCGTCGATTTCTCTATGCCGGTTAATGAGTTCTTTCCCTACGACGTACAGTTTTTACAATCTAAGAGCTTATGGCAATAAATTTAAACTATGCAGTAAATGTGCAGCTGGAAATATTTCCAAAAAAAGATGTTTCCTAGTAAAGGCGTTTAAATTTAAAAATGGTTATTGTCGTTAGAAAATAAATTTTACAATATTGTTTTTACACATAGTACTGAAATATTTAGTAAAAAAAAGCATTGAAATTGTTCCTCCGGAACACTGACAGATTTGTAGAAACTACAAGGAAAAATCAAGTTTTCGAGTTTTTCTTCTTAAATGGAAAATATTTCCGGAGATCAAAGTAAATGGTTAAAAATTTATTATTTAATTATTTGTTGTGATTTTATTAGAGATAAATATGTGTAGATTTAGATAAATGAATAAAAATAGAGGTAATAATTAAATTTGTTTATGTTTTTTTTCTTTTTTTCAAATTGTGGCCTTTGAAAATTCTTTGGGGTAATAGGAAAATTGTGCCAGCCAGCAGAGTTTCGTTACCTCGATATGTCTTTTCTTATTTTTTTGAAAATTAAACAAGATTCATTTATAAAATTTGATTTTGTTGCATATTTAATTGCTAAGAATCAATATTTGTGTTTTATTTTCTAAAATCTGTTATTATTGGATATTCTAAAACTAAAGAAGCTGTAGGTCTTTTTTATGTCTTAAATATTTTGTAAAATGTTCATCTGACGAGAACTATTGACAAAATAAGAAAAATATCTAAAGAAAATAAAAATTATATCATTTTATTGGAATTTCAAGTGAATGCTCTCAATTCCCCACAGGTGGGGTAATGGGAGAAAATGCATTTTTTTAGAAAACATTTTTTTGAAAACTTACTTTTTTGTGCTTAATTTCTAATTAATTATAATTAAAGATAACAAAAGGAGTAAAAAATGACCAAAACAATATTTTATTATAACAATAAGTTGGTTTTTTTAATCATTGTCCTTAAGAGGCTCCAATTCCCCCACCTTCCGCTATTACTTTAAACAATACAATTATTAAATTTTGTTCAATTTGAATATTTATTTAAATATCAAATTGATATAAAAATTCGTATCAATTTGATGTTTTCAGTATCAATTTGATACATTTAAATTAGTAAGTTTTTGAACATTAACCTGAATATTGAGGAATAAATTTTCATGAAATTAGTGAAAATATTTAGCAATATTTCTTTGTAATATTGGTGAAATATTACTGAAAAATATTCCCACAACTTTCAAAAAAAAAAAATTTGTAATATTACCTACATTGGAATATTTCTTGAGCCGGACATAGCAATATTCCTGAAACATTTTGTTGCAATAAAGCATTGCATTGGGGGTCTGATATTTGTTTTCAAATAAGATTCCGTTTAATCTTATTCTACTTATGTATGGATTAATCGTGAAGTAACTAATGCAATAAATAAAATAAATTTTTAAATTTTTAATCTAGTGAAGCAAACTTTAAAGAATAAAAATTAACCAAAAGTAAAACCAACACCTAACGAGTTTTTTATTCTGTTATAAGTTTGCGATGTGATTTCTGATTTAGGGGGCAGCCAATCAGGCTTTTCTCAAGACGAGAATCAACGATAGCTCTCGTCCTATATTCTTGATGGTATGGTTAAAGGCTTGAGGCAGAAGATTCCAAGGTAGGTGAGCCACGGTATCTAATAATTATTGGAGGTCGTTTGCCAAATGAAGAAGGTGGTTTCGCCCTCAGGTGTAATATGTACTACGTATTTCGTGCCAAGTCCTATATACGTTCGTTTGATTGTTGTTACATTCCCTCTGATTGCATGCCTTACAAATGACTTGTAATTTCAAAACTCCTTCACCCTTTTGAAATTCAATAACTCCCTTGTCTTCTGTTTTGGTCACCACATCGTCTATTCCAAGTCTCCATACGTAATTATTTTCGTCATACTTTACGTTTCTTCCAAATCCCATTATGCACGGAAAATTTACTGTCAATTCTTTAACGCCAATTTGGTGAATTGTCATGTTTGTAAAACTCGTTAGTTCTACAAATTTTTTTTATAGAAAATTGACGCATAAAATTAATTAGGAAAATTCAGTTTATTCGTAGTGACAAAAACGAAATTCAAATCAAATGCCTAATATTTTATAAAATGATCTTCATTTTATTAATTTCAAAGTGATTTATATTTTTTATACATTCAAATCTAGACGCACATTCTACTTTAAATTTTCAATTTATGCTAAATCGCTGATAAGTTAAGCAATATTTATTTTTAATAAATTTTAAACTCAAGTCTGCTTATAGAAAACGATCAGTTTGATTTAATTTACATAGAAATGGTACATTTTGTTTACCTCACTGATAATTTTAATAATGAAAAAGTGTTCCCGGAGGCGCTTGGAAAAATATGGGATTTAATATAACACAGGCGAGGTTAGCATAACCTGACTCCCTTGTCATTACGCACCTGTAGAATGTAGATGATCATCGATTCTCAAAAGAAGTTTATGCTTTGGGATAAAATTGCCTTATAAAAACCAATGAAATAAAAATCAAACAAAAAAATTGGAGCTGCATCTGGTACTGACGTGAATATGTATCTTATATTCCCGTCAGCAATATAATTATATTAATAGAAGTTGCTTTTGGGAGAAACTCCTAATTTACCAAAAACTATACATAATGACCATCGCAGCATTATTTAAATCTAAAACCATTTATGTAAAGCATTTTCGTGTTCTGTTATATCTTTTATCAAAATTCTTTTGAATCTTCTTTTATGTATCAACATAGATTTCTTTAAATTTTACTTTGATATTAAATTTCAAATAAAACACACATAATACTGTAATTATTTATTACATTGGATCACAAAACAATATTATTGCTGTCATATTTATTGTAAACGAGAAAATACAAATAAACAAATATAAATAAATATAAATAAAATGATTCTGCTTAACATGTTAGATATACAATTTTTTCTTAAAAAAAAATTACTGAATATTTATAATCCAAGAGCCTAAAAATAACTCTCTGTAATCGAATTATTATCAATAATTTTTGTAACCCAGTCCCCCACAGCACCGAAACTTTCCTAAAGATTTATTTGAAATATTCGGAATATTTAATTGCAATGTTTAGTGAAAATTGTGTAAAGATTTAAATGTCCCACTTGAATAAATGTTTAGCGCGAAACTTTCATGAACCTTCAAATTAAATTTTCGCCTAATTATCTTTACACAATTTTCACTAAACATTGCAATTAAATATTCTGAACATTTTAAATAAATCTTTAGGAAATCTTTAATAAAGTTTCGGTGCTGAGAGGGGTGTGACTATTAACATAATTTAACATTTTTTTGGATAAAACTTTTTTGGAGAATTAAAATTTTTTTTAAATATAATTGCACGAGCCTATCTGAAAGGATTGCCGAAAAAAATCCATAAATTTTCCAGAAGCCATTTTCGGAAGTTTTCCGAAAATCCTTTTACATGGGCAGTTAGAAAGTAAATTATTAATATTTTACAAAAAAAAGGAACATCGATCTTTCCTTAAATATCGTACGTTCTTCGATATTTTGCACCTACCATGTTTTAGATAAAGAAGGGTTGTGAATCTCAGGGTGGGATTCACAATTGATGAGAGTAAATCATACTATTCAGTTCACCGATCATCATCATTTCCACTTAATTTTGCAGTTCTTTCATTCTTTACTCTGTCCTATTATTCAACAGAAACCCTTTTACAAAATGCAAACATTTTTCCATCAGACCATTAAACTATCTTACGCTACGTTTGTTGCACCTTACATGCACCCTGACCTCTGCTTAATTATAATTTTTCCCATTC